TCCTGTGAGCCCAGGAAAAAAATACAAACAGCAGCTAAGTTTGCAGTTTAGGATAACTTCATTTTAATTTATTGTTACAGTTACAACAAGATTTTAATCAAAAAATCAATTTTACTTATCTGTAATTAACCCCTTCATTCCCAAGAGTGCTTGGTTTTCAAATATAATTTAAGATTGTATTTTATGGAAAAGAATCAACAGATTTTATTCACAATTTGTGTCAAACCAAATTTAATGATTGATTAGGACTATTTTATATGAATAGCTGTAATTGAGGATTAATCTGTATGAAGTTTTCAAGAAAAGAAAAATAAATCAAATTCCTACCTAATATTACCACACATTGATGTTGATAATTAATAAAAAATATTTTACATCTAAGCCTTAATTAAGCTTCTAAATAAATTTCATTGAATACTTAAATTTTAGCTTTAGTTTTTTTAATTTAAAGTATTTATTTTATATCATTAGCCTCAAATTTTTGCTTAAAATTCCCAGTATTTCTTAAACATTCCTAAAAATTCCCAGAAATTCCTAGGAATTTTTTAGATTTACAGCTTTTCAGGGAAAGTCATTGGTTCTCTGAGTTGGAATTCCAAGTCCTGTTGGCTATAAACTTGGGAATTTCTAGGAATTTCTAGGTTTTTAGAACCAGAGTTGTTATGGTTGGGAATTCCTAGGAATTCGCAGTCCGAATTTACCGTGAAAATTCACACCTTTATTCCTAGGAATTCCTAGGAATTCCAAAGGCCATTTCGCAAGGGTGGTAAGTACATGGTTAGCGTAAATAATTGTTGTTTATAGTTTTCGAATTTGAGAGTCTGTCTCAGTAACCTTCCTGGACATTTTCTGTTGAATTTATTGAGGTACAATCTCGGAATTTCATGAGCGATTATGATCGATAAATTCGTATCGGCACCATAATTAAGGAAAGTTTTGTCAACACATCAACAGTTTACAGTTCGTGAACCATTTCTGTAACCCGCTTGGATATTCTCTTTTGAATAATTGAATCACACCCTCGGAATTTCATCAGAAATGAAGAGCCAACGTCAGCATGTATCAGACAAACAGCGGCAACCCCAAATTTCCTTTCACTCCTACTTTCATATTTTGAAGTCCTAATAATTGTGTTGTTGTTTTTTTTTTTTTTAATATTTCAGTTTTCGAGAAATGATTTTTTTCATTCGAACGCTCAAATATGCAAATTTTCACCGTCAATATTACCCGAGTTGTGTGACCTCATGTAACGAATATACTTGACCTCCGGTATTTCTGTCAACATAATCCTTTGTTTTATCTTATAAACTTAATCCACTGTCATTATTGAAGCTGGCAAAGAAATATTTCTTTTTTGGTGAATATTTTTGTCCGACATACTTTTCCTATGTCGAATAATAGCATCAAAACAAAGACAGTTTTCACAATGACCGATATGACAGAACCTACTGAACCTCAAGCTTTTAACAGACAAAAGGATATTTAAAAAGTTACTGTAAAAATTTCTAGTGTAATTGTGTTGTTCAATCATGAGACGAACTCAAAGTCCGGCAAAATTTTCCAACGAGCGACTGTGAAATATACATTGTGAGCCAACTTGACGTCGCCGTTTACTGGCATAAATCACTACAATTTGTAAAATAAATCCAACATGACACTCACCTTGTTTATTTATGATTTTATTAGCTGTTTCGATGATCACGTTATGCTCTACCACATTCTAGCCAGATTTGAGTTCTAGTTTATATATCTTCTCCATCTTATTGTATCAGTTGCATGACAAGCATGACACATGAATTCAAAGATGATTCAATCTCCGAAATACCAAGAGATGGGTTTTTTTTCCTCTTTCCATGATATCTAGAAAAACCTTACAGAAATCAATTTTCAGAAAACTAAAATAAAATGTCCAGATCCATCAATGACTCCTTTCCTACTGTCACAGCGGATTTGGACGCCCCCCTACAAAAATTTCCTTTTCAGCATCGTTTGTATCATATTTGGTAACTAATTCTATTTGCAAGTTTTTGTCGATGTTCTCCTCAATCACAACACAACGTTCCTCAATAAAGGTAAAGAAAAACAGCCATTTCGTTCCAATTCTGTCGCATTTATTATAGCGAGTCGTACAATATACGCAAGAATCAGAGGCGAACAAACTACTGCATTCGAATTATTGGAATCGTAACAATAAATCTTTGCTTCCTCTGATGCGAATCAACACTAATACGAAACGTCATAACTATAGTGGAGACTATTGCGTCCAGTCACAAAAATAACTCAGTCTGATTTTCTAATTAAATAACATTAAACAGTTTCTTAACAAGAACGAAGTAACTACTCCTACTACAAGTCGTTCGTAAAGCCTATGATAAGTAAAAATGGTTCTACTCTGAACTATTGGCACTCTCAGCTTATTTTCAGATGCAAATCAACATTAATGTCAACGTCTTAACAAAAGTAGAGACTAATGCATCGAGCTCAATCGTATTTTCTAGTTTCAATGATTATTACCTGTTGAAGGATCTGAAATAACAAACTCGCACTGTACTATGTCGTTCTAACAATCTGGCATTGAACTTTAACAAAATAAATTAGTGTCTCAAGTTTGTCTCTTACAGAATCTACCGGTGTTCGATTATCGCGGAAAAGGTTCAAAAACGACCTTTCTCCAAACATTGAACTAAATGCTTGCGCATTTCCCTCGGTCAAAAGAAACATCCGACGGGTCATTTTAAGCTGAAAGTTGATCTTATTTAGCCGCGCATCGGCATCCTCGAGACTCTAACAGATATCGTTGATTTGTCAATTTTGGGAGATGTTGAGTGTCTAAAGAGGTGTCCGGCCATTGTAAAATTAGGGTTAAGTCGATTCCAAAAGCCGATAAGGGAATTGGGAAGCGTGTATCACAGATAGTACTCAAGATGTCTGGAAAATTCATACAGCCTAGCTCCAATAAGTAGGCTTCTTACCACCGTGAGCAAAATTACGCTTCCCGTCAGACCTAAGCATCGATTAGGAATTGGTCAATAGGCTACCAAAAATCCAGACAGAGGCGGAGTTTTTTATACTAATCTCTAAACACTTTGATGGCCTCCCGCAGTCTGGCGGGGCGCGTAATTATGCACACAGTGAAAAAGGGCCCATCTGCTCAGGCTACTAGACACTGAAAGAACTTGTTTCTCTTCACCAAAAATCACATTAAAATTTGTCCTTGCTCAATTTCAAGTGTGCTGCACGTATCATCACCCCACGAGGGACACCTTTACATAAGAGGGCGGGGGTGCACGCCGGGAATTTCGAAAACGACCCTTATAAAATTATAAATGGTACCTGAGTCTTAACTGTGTGGTGGTGGTAACAATCGATGTCTACCCCTAAAAAGTACCAATTCAAATGCAAGAAATTGAAAAATCCCAAAAATAGAAACTCCTTGATCGATGTGCTCTAGAGGCTCAAGTCAGATCATTAAAATCGTCCTAGTAATGCTTATTTCAGGTATTTTGTTGAGCTAAAAACACCTTAAAACGTACCAGCTAGGTCTCAGGAAAGTTTAAGACACCGTCAAAGTCATACCTAGGCGTAATATAATAGTCGAGACAGCTTATAAATCATAAATAAACAAGGTAAGAGTGTTATGTTAGGTTTTTTTTTACAAATTTTAGTAATTTATACCAGTAAACGGTGGCGACAAGTAGGCACACCATATATATTTCATGGTCGCTATCAAGTAAATTTTGCCGAACTTTGAGTTCGTCTCAAAATAGAACAACACAGAAACACAAGGAAATGTTTACAGTAACTTTTTAACCATCCTTGTGTCTGTTAAAAGCTTGAAGCTCAGTAGGTTCGGTCATATCGGTCATTGTGATGAAAACTGTATTTGTTTTGATGTTAAATTTCGACATAGGAAAAGTATGTCGGACAAAAATATTTACCAGAAAATAAATGTTTCTTTTCCAGCTTCGATAATGACAGGGAATTAAGTTTAGAAGATAAAAACAAGAGAGCCTAATACCACACACACCCTCATCAATCCAGTTAGCTTATTATGGATATAGCATTCCAAATATGGTGTATACGCCACAAGTTTTCCATTTCCTTTTAAACTAAAGAGAAAATTTAATTGATGTTTGAAATTAATTTCTGTGATGTAAAAAATGAAATCCAGGTAGTATCTCAAGTTTTCTTAAAAACACCCACATTATATACAGTTGCAGTAGAAGTAACGGAATTAAATAACAGAAAAAATCTCAAAAGACGTCGTGTATTTCCAGCCAGAGGATAATCATGAAACAAGAATAGCCAAAAGCGAAAAAAAGTTAACAAATTAACAATTACAGGTTCAAAGGCGAGCTGCAAATCATTTTTGTTTTAGTTTTCTACGCTAAACAGAGGAGGATGAAACGTTGGGGAAAAACGATGGGGTAAGCAGTCATACCTGGCAACTTCAAGAGAAGATGTAATAGAAGCCCATACGATTCTGGCGTATTGTTTTACTTACTCACTGTGCTCATGTGTATAAACTTCAATCGACTAGTGATGTCTTAACGCAAAGTAGTTTACCGTCGTTTCTTTCTATTTTGACTCATTTTCCCAAACCGAAATTGTAAGTCACGCATGATAGAATGTAATTTCAACTGATGCTGACATCATACACTTTTTCTGAAGAAGAAACATTCCCTATCTTCGAAAATTTGCTCAAAACATCAGGAACAACGACGAAGGCCATAAGCTGTTTGAAGATACCGTTGAGTAGTATGCGTGTTAATTGCTTTGTAAGTTGAGAGAATATCGTCCCCATGTTCCAGACTTCGACACTATCTCCCCCCGAACTGGTCTCTCAATCCCCTTGAAGAAACTCTTCTACAGCCAGCGCTGAAGAGTTTTTTTGCAGTTTTTATTCAGTATAGTGAAGGGCTGGAAAATAAACTAACAAGAGCTCCGCTTCTAAGCTTGGCTAAATCTATATATTATTATTGAAAACTCATTTTATTTACCTGCAAGAAACAAAGGCAGTTTGGTCGAATAGAAAAAGGGCAACCGCGTCCGTTATTCCAAAATTGCCAATTTTCCAATCGCAATTTAGATTCTTATAATCTGCTTGTGTCACATCTATCAGTCCAGTGGATTGGTTTAAACTGATCTCGCAAGCTAGGGGAAAAAATTAAACATAACTTACGTTATTTTTCATAGACTATCATTTCTCGCTTCTGTGACTTTTAAAAACGTGTCTTACTTGATAAATAACAAATGTTCAGATTATCCTAGAAACTCACGCGCTTGGATTTTCCCAGGGCTACTTCTTATGCATTCATACAGCGACTGAATTGCTGATTTTATCTAAATCACGGAGTTATAGGGATCGGAAAATGGAAAAAGCCCCAGTCCAGTTTTGATAAATATTTCTTAGAATATAGATCTAATATATACAACTAGATTTATGGTTTAAGATATGATATGAGCAACGGGAAAGATCAATATGTAATTGATCCAGGCTCTATCAGCAAACCTAATGCAATGGAAAGGTTTCCTTCAAAAAGATAATAAAACATAAAACAAAACAACAAAATAAAAAAGAAACAAATATGTAGCTTCCATTCAGAAAATTCTGAAACTAATACTTTCTAAAATGCACAGGCAGTTGTTGAACGAGATCTGTTTACTTACTGTGTTCAGTGCCAGTCAGCGGGGTACAAGATATCAAAACTACAAAGAAAAAATTCAAACAAATCAGTCACCTTGATAAACTTTCAGTCATTTACGTCATCGAAATTTAAAACAGCAGGCATAAAAGTAACAGAACTTTACGCTCAGGAAAGATGCGTCACAGGTACACGTTACCTTCAACGTTGATTTTTATTGGTATAATTTTTCAGATTAATGGTCCTTACTGCATCAGATTTTTTCTTTTTGGACACTCCATAAATATGAAACAAGGAAATTCAAACTCAAATGTTGCAGTTTAAAACGGCTGAAAAAGTATATTTTTTTCATAAGTAAAGGTACGCTATGTGCCTCAAAAAGAGCTCACAAAGTTTCTGCATTGCTTTTTCATATATTCAGAGGACAACAATAGAGCTGATTGTTGCAAACACTATGAAGCAACATGTCCACTCAAGCAATGACTCAACCGCTGAGATAAGTCGTTTGATGAGTATTCATCTAACGTGGGATTTACGAGTGAGATTCTAAAGCTTCTCAATCATTTAAACATGTTCTTTTGTTCCTTTTGTTCCAATAGGAAACATGACATTCTACAAGAGAGAAACAGCAACGCAGAGCGGAAGTTATGGAGCAGTCATCCATGCCAAGTCCATGTCATTGTCCACCCTGAATAAATTTCAGAAACCGCATGCATAACAACAATAATTTGAATTGAGTGGATCTTAAAGCATATTAAATTATGGGGAGCTTTCGTCTATGGGGAGATCTAGATGTTTAAGAAAGTCTGCACTACGAAAAGTAACAACATTATGCCTTAACGCGACCCCGCGCACAGTTGCACAGTCACGGTTGCCATGAAACGTTCAGCAAATTTTTCACTTCAAAGCTTCCAACAGATTCGTTGTCGTTAACGTGTCCATAAGTATGAGAGACGCATTGTTAGTCTCCATTTTAATGATTTATAGAGACGTCGAAGGGTTTATAGAATTTTTTTCTCGAAATCTAATCAAGTAGTGTATATTCAAAGGGGAGACGAGGAAAGCAATCTGTAAATAAATGCAGGGGTTCAACTAACCTCTTGCTATGGCCTCTAGCCAAATTTTGAATGTATGAAGCTGACTGAGTATTAATTCCAGAGTGTGTTAGATTAATATTCAATTCAAATTATCCGAATTTCACGTTCTAAAGGTAATTTTTACCCTGACTAAGCATCATACATGAGTAATAATGTTGCAGCTGCTCAAAACTGTATCATTAATGCATATAAAATACAATACCTGCTCATTTAACCTGGTTTACCCTGACCCTGTTTTGAACATGTAGCCATGATTTCAACGATAGTTAATTTCAGGGAGTACAAAATATTCCCAAAGAATGCTATTTTCAGATTGGTTTGTAATTAGATCTTGCAGTGCCACTTATTGTTGAAAAACAATTGCAGTCTTGTAGGGATTTCGAAGAAGTGCGGGTTTTTTGCGGCACTTATAGCAGCAAGCATAATCTACAATGACTGATGAAATGATCCGATGACAGATATAACTCCGACTGCATGAGAAGCAAAATAAAGCACTCTTAATGGATCAGGCGAGGTCGACATTTAGGGTTTGTCTTGATGAATGGAGATTTTGATAACTTCATACCGTTTGTTAGAGAGTCCGCTCACGTAGAATAGTCCATTTGATCAAGTCACGAGTAACCTGACAGGTAATTAGTAAGATTGGAAACTCACTGTTTGTTACGACGCAGAAAATGGAAAAGAGAATGGTCTTTCCAGAACTCATCATCGCATGTTCCAGTTAGTTCGTTTCACACCCAATGTCACACACAGAACACTTTCACACCAGTTGACCAAATGAAGAATTTTTGTGCTTCCGTTTCAGCACAGATGACGTAATAATTTATTTTAAATAAACCAATAGAAATCACTTAAAGCAAATATAATGACAGTCACGACTAGACAAGCAAATGAACGATTAATCTTGTCGATGAGTGGCATATGTGGCCATAGAACTGCCTCTTTTGCACAAAGCATGTACGAAATCACCTTGAGCAGTCCATTGTTCCGCCAAGTGCTTTTGATAAGTCATTATCAGTTATAATAACTTGTTATGCAAGCTCCCTGTTTCCTTTTCTCATCTTACTTGCATTTTCCTAACCATGTCAACAGTTTATGTATCGATCTCCGCGCACTACATTTAGAGATCGATTTGGTGCGAGATGTAAGATAGCAGCTCTTAGTCGCATTCGCAAATGCGACTAAAAGCTGCTAAATGTCAATCCAGCTGAAAGCTTTGTTGAGTTTCTTGTGCTCCTTAATAGGACACCTTGTCTACACGCAAACCAAGCTAACTATAGGACCGCTCAAATTTCAAATCACGTTATCTATAACAGGCAAAGTTGCATCTTGAAATATCCGAAAAACCATTTGTTTCCACTATGTAAGGATATAAGGTAGGAGGTCTGCAATAACTTGTTAGGCTTAAATGTTATTAACTTTTTTCTCCTTATTTAGGCTGGTAGGTCAACATAAACTAAACTTGGAAGCATGCATTAGAATTGATACTCTATAGCTCTGGCGCTTTTAGATCACTTTCGGTGTGCGAGATCAGCGGCTGCTGTTTACAATATATGGGCGCGATGTTTGTGGCATGTGAAAGACCTTTTTCTTGTTAAGGTACACGTCCTTAAAATTTGCGCCCGTCGTCTATGGAGTTTAGACCTACCGGTTTTTAAAAGCACAGGCGTAAATAGGGGAAAAGCCTTTCAATGGATATATCATTTAACTCCGAGCTAGTGCGCCATTACGATAAATTTAGGACGAAGGCTCCTATCCTCTTCAAACAGAATCAATCTTTAGAATTACCTTAGCGAGGCTATATCGCCTAGAACTAGAAATGCCATGATACATTAGAAAAGGTTTCGTTGGATTGCTCATACGAGGAAAAGATTCTTAAGCATTTGGAAAACATGTTCGTGCATTAGTTGTTCCGTACTATTCCCAAAGGCAGTATTATTTCTGACCTCGCGTGCTAGGAGCGTTTAACGCATTAAAACCTCCTTTTTAATATTATAGTTATTGCTACTATTATTTCTTTTATTATTTCTATAAGTTAAGGGAATATTGCGCAAAGAAGTGAATTAATAAGTGGGAAAGAAGTTAACGATACTCTTTCAACAATGAAGGCTGCTTAATATAACACTAAATTTGCACAGAATTATGTCTAGTGCTCCAGTGGAGCGCGACTCCGTAATGAAAGCGAAAATAAGTGGCTAAAATATCGGCTAATGTGTACAGCCTAACGTGTGCCAGCCAAGTTTGTCATCTGAATCTAAAGACTCGTTCGAATTTTAATGACTGTAGAAGCATGCAGTGGAGCCTGTATTACGCGGTCACCCAAAGGAAATGCTGTGACAGTGGATACGAAACTAGCTCAGTCTGTTCAAAAGAACTCCTAATTACTGCGTCATAAAGGCTGACCAGAAAAAACTCTCTAGTACAATAGCAGGCAAATTATCTTAAATAGGTGTGGTTTGTCAAAGCGGTAAATATCACTTTCAAAAGAGAATATACAAAATAAATGCGTTTAGGAAAGCTCTAGCCGCCAAATTTCTGACTCTCGAAACCAACCAAATGTAATGCAAAATTGAGAAGAAGCATTCAACCATGTGAACGTAAGATGACTGACGGCATCGCTTACCAAATCGTGCATTTAATTACGACCGTGCTCACACACGAACCTCGTGAAAGTATGGTTTAACTTTCCTGTAACTATCCTTGGTGGTGTTTACAGATGAATGGAGCGTACGAGAGCCTAGGTTCAACACTCTGTCTCAGATTGCTTAGGATTGGAAGCCTTACCACGTGTTAGAAACCGATAGGAATTGCTCACTTCAACAGGCTATTATAAGTTTAAAAAAAAAACTTCAGACAAAACCGAGAAAAACTCAGTGAAGCAAAAGGATCAATCAAGTTCCATTCTTCTCAGTGCCTTTGTCGCGTATTCGAAATAATCATAGTAGAGAAAATTTTTATAGCTAACATAATTACCACTAGAAACTTCTCAAGTTGCTCCCTTAAGGACACACTTACATGGACGTGAGAAACAACCGAGTCAATATTTATTCGAGTTGGTTAAATGTAGCATATGTTGTATGGGGAAAATGATTCTCATTTTTCAAACACTGTATATTGAAATACACCTAATGAAACATTCGAACTTTAGCCAGTCGAAATTTTTTACTAATGGTCATTTAAATATTCAGTACCCCACTCACAGTTTGTCAGAGTGAGAAGTCTCTACAAGTTCATCCTCTCGGTAACCTCTTTGCCAACGTTGGATAAGGATTTAGAACAGGCTTTTTAGGTTTCATTTCTTTTCCGTTTAACTCTTTAACTCCCGGGAGTGACCAAGACAGGATTTCTCCTTACTATATCTAAAGAATATCATGCAGACTAGTGATGAGAATAAATAAAATATCAATTATCAGATTGCTAAATGATCTGATACCAAATTCTCCAAACTAACATGATGAGAATCGTTTGGCAGACAGTAATGAGATTTTGGGCGGCGGACCAAGTAGATGCACGCCCAATAAAACCGGAGACATATTTTGAATATACGTTCGGTGAAATGCGCATATTTTTTGACGTGAGTACAGTTGTAAATTTTTTAAACAAAGCGATGGAATAGTGCATTTATGAACACAAAGAAAAAGGTTTATTTAGCATCTGACGACAAAAAAAACTCATGTAAATCTACATTTCCATGGCAGTTATTTCAATCTATCTCTCAATATGTCACAGTTGCACACTTCCGTCGGTTTCATAAGTTACTTTGAAAACACTGTGCGTTTGCTTTCGGGTAGGTGAATTGGAAATAATGAAATAATGAAAATAATTTAAATCAAGTTGCGGTCTCGAGGCAGTTTTGAACGATTTTGGAAATCAGTTCAAAAACAAAACATGATCGAAACCATGACTAAGACTAAATAACAGATGTACTTGCTAAATAACAGATGTACTACTTCGAAACTGGTATAGCTAGTTTTGAAAAGAAACAAATATTAGAAATGAAGCATACATGCAAGAGCTGCCGATCTAGGAACAACATGGAACCGTGAAAGGAAAAGACATCTCAAGGCAAAGGACACTAGCCAACCTAACGAGGCAACTGAAGGTTTTAGACTGAGAAGCTTCTCCTAGTCTACGGGCGACTGCAAACCTGTGTCTGGAAATTGTATGGCTCCGTATAAACATCTGTTCTTCTTTACTTTCACTTCTGATCTCTTGCTCGATATTATTTAGTTCGCTATTTAGTTTCTTTTTCACGGTTGTGAGTTGTTCGGCTATAGATTGTTAAGCAACGACACAGACTCCAAAGAAAAGGACCTTGTTGACATCTTTCATTTAAAGTGATACGCTCAAGGCTAAAGGTCATGAACACTAACAAACTAAAACTGTATCATCGAGACCAAGAGCTGCTCGCTGATAATTTTCAAGGGGAATTCATCATTTATGAATTCAAAGTCAGCTGGAAAAAAAAACAGTTAGAGGTAGGCGTTAGAGGTCTTGACTTGTTTAGTTCTCTTTGTCATGCATCGGTAATTAATTTTCCTCTTCAGCTGACAAAAGCCTGCAGAGATCTAATGTTTCCAACATAAGTTCTAACCATACAATGAAAAGGGTCATGGTTAGCTTCTTTCCTTCATTTAATTAACAGTGCGTGTAATACTACTTGAGTAAGTGCGTAAGTCAGTACCGAAATGCATGGAAATCAGGATTATCACTTACTATATCGCTGGTAGCGCCCATGGGCAATATGAAGCGAATCCTGTGTTCTGATTGCTTACTCCGCGAGATGGCAAGATGGGGTTATGTTGCCCACGCGGGATTGCCCGTCTTGATCCCGCGCTAGAAAGACAGAGGCGGCAGAAAACAGACAAAACAAAGAAAACATATGCGACTCTCGTAGATTCATTGTGCTACAAACACGGTTAGCTTTGTTTCCCCGCTCTCGAAATAAGCCTAGGCTTATTCGGTCACGATGGCTGGATATACGCCTCGTCCTTTTTATATTTTTCCCCCATTTCATGGACCGAGACAAAGTCATAACATCAAACATTGATGATATAAGATTTTTCGCTTAGCTTTTCTATCAGTAGCAGGTTGCTTTTAAACATCTAAGAGGATCACTCTAGCCCTAAAACTAAATAAAGAAGTCTGTCTTTCTGTGTATATTTGTTAGAATACAATTATACTCTATGCCTTTAAAGAAGTCGAAAACATCACTTCATCTCCAAACACACAAACAAACCGAAAACAATTTATTTTCTTACTAAAACATTGTAACCCGAACAGCGAAGAAAATCCACGAAATCCGGAAATAACTAGAACCATTTACTATGGTCACTGAACAAATACACATCGAAAGTTAGATACCTTCTTACCGAACCAAAACGAAAGTAGTTTTTCAATTCAAAATGATCGAAGCTCCGTCCAAAAAACGTATAACAACATATTATTCATGAAATAAAAAATCGGTCGAGGGGCGTATTCAGTCAAATTTTGATAAAAATCTCGCGGATGTGTCAAACAGCAACAGAGGTGTGTACAAGGGTAGGCTTTCATACATCTAGATAAACTAACATTGTGCCCTTAAAGTTATGTATAACAAAGGACTTGAGATTTTTAATAAAAAAGTAAACGAAATGACAAAGTTGGTTGGTCACAACATCAAGAACAACGACAAAGGTCGACGCTGTCTGAAGATACCCCTGACTTGCATGTGTGTTGTTGTGAGAACATCGTTCCCTGGTCCAGACTTTGTCAATTCTTCCCTACCTCCCCATCCCCCAAACTGGTCTCTCAATCCATTGAAGAAACTCTTCTACAGCCAGTGCTGAGGAGTTTTATTACAGTTTTTATTCAGTGTAACCTAGGGCTGGAAAATAAACTAATAAGAGCTCCGCTTTTAGGCTTGGCTAAATCTATGTATTGATTATTTCCCCAAAATGTACAAGCATAAGTAAGGTAAGGATAAATAAGAGAATAATACACGCTATTAAGTGTTGCTTTTGATACATAATG